CCCTCCCTGTGGTAAGCTGCCTGCCGCTAGTAGGCCGACGACGGACTCCTCACTGCTGGCGCAAAAAGGCGTGTGAAAAAAAAAACTAGGCCTTCAATGGAACCGCCACACGCACGAAAAAGCGCGTGGGAAAACAAACTTTGTCATTTGGACGTGCAAAATTTTGTTCACGCCCCTTCTCTCCGCCTGCTTGGCTGTGGTCTCACCGCTCTATTAGGCGGGCTTACTACGAGTATCTGCAGTTGCCTACAGCCGCTCGGTGCTGGATTTGAAATCAAGCGCTTACGCTGCAAACGGCATGTTGCATGGCGACGGACAACGTGCTCCACCACCGGCATGCCGCCCAGCCTGGTGTGGCCGCCGTCGGGTTGGCCTGCCATTTACAAAGGAACAACGCAAGATCACAGGGGATACCATTCGATGAAGGAACTGGGCTTTAGCAATTCGTAGCATCAAATCAAACGAAGGAGGTGATGAATTTGGTTCGGCCGACGAGTCCTAGAAGCATCTTTCAGCATTTCGATGCTGGCTGCATCTAGTTCATTCAACTTTTGATTGCCATAAGGCGGCGCAATGAAAACAACACCCTACAATCCTACAAAAATACGAAATCCTCGCGGATGTGCGGGGCAGCCTCCCCNNCCCGGCGCCAACCTCACACGCTGCCTTGGGACCGCGTTGACGGCTTCAAAAAGGTGCGTGGAAAAAAAACACACCGTGACAAACTGCGGAGTTGAGCATGACACCACGTCATCGTGAGATTCATTCTGAACACAAAAAACACTGCAAAAAAAAACACTGCCCGCCTAAATTTGACCATTGAGGCCAGAGCTTGACAAAGTCGAAAAATTTAGCCCGCGCGACATCGAAAATTGCTCACACACTGACTCCAGCTGCCAATTCCAAAGAAGCATACGGAAGCTTCGAGATCCGTTTGCCAAGAATGTTGAGGTCGAAGGCTTTCAGGGATGGCACTCCAAGCAGGCCGACTCTCCCTTCCTGCGTGGGCGAGGTGGGTGACAGCGGCCACATGCAAGCAAGGGGCGAGAGGAGTTGGCCTGGTTTCGAGCGCAGCGAGGCAATGCGCAGCGTGTACGCATTTCTGCGACAACGATGACCCGAACTGGCAGCACCAGGTTCCTCCACCTGCTCTGTCCACTTTCGCGGGCTCTAGCGAGGCTGGCCCCGCTCTGCCGCCCAACCGCAAGCTACGGGTGCGGCCCCTCGGTGACGCCTGTCGGACCCGAGACCCAAATCTGGCTGCGCACGTCCGCCCTTGGCGTCGACCCAGTCGATCGCCGTCGCCTTGACTTCGTCGCTACCCTGCAAACGCCGCTTGGCGAGGCGTTGTGTTGTGACGTCACACTCGTGTCGGAGGTGCGGGCTAGGGAGGGCCCCACTCGTCTGCTGCCACCCTTGATGGGGCGCACAATCCGTCGTGCAAAAATGTGCACCTGAAGTACGGCGAGCGCGCAGAACGGGCAGTGCGTTGGCCCAGGCGGTCACTAAGCAACAGGGGCGGCACGTTCGGCGCACGGCTGGTGGCTGGCATGGCTGGTATGGGCTGGTGGCTGGTGTAGTTGGTGTGCCTTGGTGGGTATTGCCCCTGCACGGCTTGTGGCTGAGCGCGGCTGGCGCAACAGCCATTCCAGCCACATTAACCCAGCTACACCGCCCACACCCATCAGCTTGCTCACACAAACCCAGCCACACCAACCACACCAACCCCCCAACACCAGCCACCAAGCCACGCCAGTCACAGCAGCCACACCCCCGCCCCACCTTCCAGTGGCTTGGGGTGGGGTGGGTGTTGGCTGTTGGGGCTGCGGATGTGGGGGCTGGTGTGGGCTGGTGGTTCTGGTGTGGTTGGTGTGGCTGGTGTTGTCTGGGCTGGCGGCTGGCGTGTGGCTAGTGGGGTGTGGCTGGTGTGGCTGGCTGGGTTAGTTTGGCTGGAATGGCTGGTGCCCCATCCACACCAGCCAGCGACACCAACCGTGCGGGGCAATCAATACCCACCAAATCCCACCAAGCCACACTCACCACACCACCCAGCCACCGCCCACACCAGCCACGCCAGCCGCCAGCCCAAACCAGTCACATCACCACCCCCCCATTCCGCCAGCCCTCCAGTGCCACCGCTAGCCACACCAGTCACAGCAGGTGTAGGGGGCTGGTGGTGTGGCTGGCGGTGGCGCTGGAGGGCTGGCGGAACTGGGGGGCGGGGGGTTTGGTGTGGCTTGCGTGGCTTGTGTTGCTTGTATGGCTGTTGTGGTGGGGCTGAGGGGCCTGTGTGGCTGGCTGGTGTGATTGGCGTGGTGTGGCTGGTGGGCTGGCGTGTGTAGCTGGTGCGTGCTGTGGCTGTTGTGGGTTTTCGTGGTGATGGTGTGGTTGGTGTGTCTAATGTGCTTAGTGTGGCTGGTGTTGCTAGTGTGCTTGGCGGTGTGCCTGGTGTGGCTGGTGCGGCTGGTGGAGGGGGGCCTGCGTGGCCGCTAGGGCGAGTGACTAGTGTCGCTGGTGTGGCTGGGCTGGTGTGGCTGATGTGTCTTGTGTGGTTGGTGTGGTAGGCTGGGGGCCTGGTGCACCTCCTGCCTGGTGCGGCTGGTGTTGGTGTGGTTGGTCAGGCAGGCTGTGCCCGGGGGGGGGGGGGCTTGGAAGTGGCCGGTGTGGCTGGTGGCTGGCGTGGCTGGTGTGGTGGGCGTGTTTTGCGATATTCTCGATACGTAGCCACATAATCAGCGATACAAGCGGTTCGGTGAGCGATACACTGCGGTATGCAATAAAAGTCTAGTTGAAACAACTGGTAAATAGGAGAAGTAGGCGTGTTGGGAGTACTAGTTACTAGTTGTGGTAGGAAAAAATGGCGTAATAGGACAGTAGGAGTGGGCCCAGCCGCAGGAACAGGAGCAGGAGCAGCCTGAGCCGTAGCCGTGAGCAGCAGCGGTAGCTGCAGCCGTCTTGGCCGTAGTAGCCGTAGTAGTGGCCGTGATAGCCGTAGTAGTTGTACTAGCCGTAGTAGCCGCAGCTGTGGCAGAGGCAGAAGCAGTAGCAGCACCAGCAGCAGCTAGCAGCAGCAGCAAGGGCAGCGTAGCAGTGTAGCAGTGAGAGTAGCAGTGTAGAACCAGCAGTGACACTGTCGAACATGTTTCGAGCTGATGCAGGTTTTGAGCCTGGGATCAGAATGCTTCGAGTACTCGTAAACAAAAAAGTCGTACCTGTGCTCGTGCTCGTGCAAGCGCCAGTGCTACTGTTAGCACCATGGTATCGAGTACTGTTACGAGGATTAGTGTTAATTAAACAAACGCTAATCATACTCGCGCTCGAAGGACTAGGAATAGGAGTAGAAGCAATAGTCGTTGTCGTAGTGAATGGTAAACATTCATACGAGTACGAAGAAAACGACCACGACCACAATAGACCAAATGGCCGCGGAGTGTTTCGGCCCGGCGTTCCTCCCTGCTTCCAACATCCAAATCTCGCCCTGGATCTTGGTCCAGTTTGTAAAGCCATGACATTTTAGCAGGGCAAGCATGGAATTTTGGGATCATCCCAGCAGGCACAATCACGAACCAAGGGTTCTGGGGCTACTTTAGTCTTCTAAGCTGTTGCAATGGGTAGTCATGCAGCCAAGAAAAGACAGCTAATAAGCGTACAGATTATACATGACGCAAGATGACATCCAGGCCGGTACAGATTGGAATGATGCACCGCGACTAACAAACTGTGGGATGTTTTGCAGGTTGCCAGCGAGAGCGAGAGCCGAGCGGAGGAGTCTGTTGAGGAAGCCTCCATCGAGGACACCGTGTTTCGCATTGCGCTGTGGTATGCCATGTTGGGAGCACGCCGCAAACAATAATTCCAGCACGCTAATGGCAGCTGCAGCATGTCGTCGCTGATAGCAAGGCAGAAGAGGCCCCAATCCAGAAAACATCTTCGGCGTGGCAAAACCATGATGATGTCGAGTGGACGGTGCGCCGGACAATATTGTATCTGAACGGATTGGCTCGGGCCCGAGAGGCAATACTGTTTTGGATGTTCTGGCAGGCAGACGACGAAGATGAATGGCAGAAAGACACGCATCGGGATTACTATGAAGCGCAGATGCCTCATCAGGCGAGTTGGAGCGCCGTCGAAAAATGTTTTTGCATCTTGAGGTTGGGATTGACACGCTCTGACGGGATGTCCATTTCCGCGAGCCGAGTTCGTGCAGCGCGTGCTTCCTACTTCATGGAACCAACCCACCCAAGGACCGCAGGAAACCTGAGCCGCCCATGTAAGGTATCATCGAATGGTGCAGAAATGGCATCCGGATTTCCAATCCATTGAAACATCAGGCCACCGCTTTACAAGGATGCACGGGTGCTGCACCACCATGACATTGCTTGTGTCGCAGCTCGAAAGGCAGTTGTGATCAAGAGAATGGTCCACAGAGGACGCGACATGAAGTTTTGCGAAGGCTCCTGGAAGTGCAGCGAGCACACGCTCGAAAGGGAGGGCTTTGTGTGTAATTTTGTTTTGCCTTCAAACCTGACAGGTTTTGGTTAATCACCGAGGCGGGCTGCATTCCACACCTTGGTAGTTGTTGTGTCTGCCATGGCCCGGTCAGGCATATCTGGTTCTTAAGGATCCGGAGAGGCAAGCTTTGCAAGACATAAGCGGCCGTTTGATTTGGCCATTTTGCACAGGCGGCGCATTTACGACGAATGCGGTTTCGCGCATTTCAAGCAAAGTGAAGCGTGTCGGGGGCCGTGCTGCGACATGCCAGACCACAGAATAGAGGAGAGCCTGCTGGGACTGACGCGAGGCTATCAAGAGCCAGTCTTCGAACAGGAGCTGGTTTTCAGCTGTGGCAGCATGTGGCGTGTGGAATCGTGTCGGTTGCTCGCTGTATCTCACAGTGCAATGCCGGACCTGTATCTCATGTTCCACTTCAATGGACGTGTTTGCAGGGTTGAGAACCATTGTCAAAGCCTGGCAGTGTTGTTCCGTTCGCTGTTTGGCCCAAGTATGGTTGAAGCTTTCATGGTCGGAGTGTCTTCGGTATCGCAATGCGACGCCTGCTCAGGCCCGGCGCTCTGCTCCGAAGGTTGCCCTTGGTTCCCAGACGCACCTTCAGCTCGTCGTCTGCCGCACTTCGGCTGCCGAGATGAATGCACTGCCTCGAAGACAGGGTTGTTCGTTCTTTTTGGTTGTTTTATTCTGGTTTGGCCGAGCTTTGATGCCAAGAATTAGTTTTCCCAGCCTCGGTAACATTCGCAAAGCTGGCACTTCGATGACACCATGCCAAGTAACTTAGTCATTCACGGAGGCAGGGTTTCGGAAGAACGAGGCGTCAGACGTGAACGTGAAGTGAAAGGATCATGCGTCTAGTTGAAGCCAAAGAAATCAGGAGCGAGAGTCCCGTCCTAGAGCGACCATGAGGCATGGTCAGAAGGTGAAACATTACACGGCCAAGCAACAGGTGTCCGTACAACTGCACACAAGATCAACTACGGCATCGATCTACGCATCAGCACTATCTCATTTCTCACGCCTGAGCGGCATGGCACACGCTGGCCCACAGGAAATGCTGTTGGGAATTTCACGGGCACGGTCGGCTCCTGCGGAGGCTCCTGCGGAGGTGCAAAACAACGTTGACAAACTCAAAGCCTGCCCTCACCGGGTTCGAGAGCGCCGCAAATCTTGGTGCGCCGTGCAAAGAAGTAGAGTATGTGCAAGAGTGTCTGCACAAAACTGACAAGGTCCGGCGTTGCTCTGGTGGCGAGCACTTCGCCCGTCACAGAAAGGGTGATGCCCACAGCGGGCTAGTTAATCCCCACTAGCGAGCATGTGCAGGAGACACGCACCGGCCATAAACCACTGGGTGCAAGCTGGGGTGTGGCTGCCATTGCGCATAATCGCGTAAGGTTTCAATGCCACGGACCGCTACTGAGCACCACGCATCGGCATGCGAAACTAGAACGGTACGCACATGGCGCAACCCGCGTCGGACGACTGAATTGCGAGCATCACGTCCTGCCTGCACTCCAGGTTTCTGGATGAGAAACACCCAGCCTGATTTTCACGATTACGGACCCAAGAACCAGGACATTCAGTGGCAATACGTGCAACTTGTGCAGGTGTGCATCTGCCTGGGATGGAAAGCAGGCGTGCCCAGAACCCCGCGGCCCGAAGCAAGTGCAAATTTTAAATAACGGGCATCATCAAACCAACGAAGCTGACCCTGAACCGCCGCAGTCGGTGCACCACGTCGCCACATTAATAAGCGGCAGCCCCATTGGAACAAGCGGGTGTTCACATGCTCTAACTGGGGGTTTTCAACAACAAATTGCAAACCAAAGCAAACGGACGGCGTATGTATGCATTAAACAACTCTGGTTGCAAAAACTCAGCGGCAAATTTTGAGAGTTCGATTACGACACGCCAGCAGCAATTCTCTGATATTCTCTGTTCATTGCAGGATAACACATGATCTACATATATCTACATGACGATCATGAAAAGCAACACCCAAATATGTGTAGCTATGCTACGCACAATCGGCAACGGCTGATGCAACGAAGCAAGCTTGGGGGGGCCTCCGGCCAAAGCACATGACTGCACCTGTGTTTGGGCCAGTGACAAAACAAAACTCAAGCCCACGCAACCGGTGCATCTAAAGCTCTTTGAAAGTCTTCAGTTTGCACTGAGAATGACAATGTCACCAGCATGCAACAAATTTTGACATGCAATGCGCTGGAGCCAGATGCACGACACGACGCGCCGCGACAGGCACGTTTGATTGCAGATGCCAAACCATTGACTAACACATTGAAAAGGAAACCGCCAAGGACAGCTCCCTGGCCGATATCCTAGTCAACGTCCCAATCTTCAGAAAGCAAGGATGACACCAACGGCTGCAGTGTGGTCAGAAATTACGTGATCAGAAAAAAAGTCGAGAATTTTGGCGTTGAGTGCCGACGTTCCGGCTTTGCTGGATTGACGCTGTGCAGGTGACAAAAAAACAAAACAAAACAACAATAAGAATAGGTGCCACTCACCACCTTGAACCCCGGCACAAGTCGCAGCAAGGCACCATCCCGCCACTTGAGGGGGAGGGCGTCATCCAATCGAGAGGCAACAGCGTACCACATTCCAATGTTAAGCCCGAGGCATTATGAGATGGATTGAGGTGGCATGTCAGCGGCGGTGCTACAAAAGCTTGGTAGTGGAAGTGCAAGGCTGTGTTCATTTTGCAACATGCAAGCTTGTGCTACCACTCAGGAGGCCAGACCATCTGTAACGAATTTGCGGCGGCACTTTATCGTTTGTGCTGTGCCGATGGTCGGGTTCGGCATCATGGACTCTTAGCTGCATGGAGTAATAGTGCTCGGCGGTCAGTCCTGCTGCTTGCTGCTGCCGTCTGTTGCATCTCAAAGCCAGCTACAAGCCCGAAGGACAACACCATCATGATTCACGCAGGCACGGGCGTGCTGAGAGTGACAAGCCGGACTATGTTCAAACTGCATTGGAGCGTCCGCAAGAGCCACGAGAGGCGAGATGATTGATGAGCACCTGGGCATGGCCTTGGGGCTTAGCACTATGGCCTCTGCAGCTGCTGGACAAGTGATTTCTGATTTTTCAGGCCATTCCGTAACATATCACGAAGTGACGAAACATCTACTGTCCGCAGCACTACCAGCACGTGGTTGATCTGTTTCTTGCTACAGGTACAGTACAGTAGCGCTGCCATCATTGCATGCTGCCGTCTTTGTCGTGGTGGCAGTGCGGCAGGGTGTATGCACGGTAGAGCAGTTTTCCTTTGAACCTGACCCACGCAGGTAGAATCAGAGGCCCCGAATTGCCCGTCCCCAACCTCCGCAAAACGCAGGGTGCTTCTGGCATCTTGTGCTAAACAGGCCGAAAGTGCGAGGTTCGTTTATATCAGTTTTCCCTTAAGTTTCCTCAGGCACACAGGAAGCAGCAGAATGAAGCAAGTTCGGACAGTCCTTCCATAGCATGGGAACATGAAATGCTTCAGTGAGTGAGAGTGCGACAGAATCGCACTTTTCGGAGAAACCTTTTCGATTAGGGTGTGGTTTGTCATCCAGTCGCAGGGCGTCGAGTCTTCACCGGCGAAAGTTGAGGCAGCAGCACTTCAACAGTTGTAAGCATGAGGATCTGCAAGACAGGGTCTGTCCGCAGTGGCAGAATTGAGAAACAGGATGGCCTTCGATCTGCTCAAGATAAGAAAAGATGCTGCCTGCATCTTGCTGTCATGCCTGAACATGCTTCTAATCCTCAGTGAACGAGCTGCAGAGGCGTCTGCTTTGGTGGCACCTTGGAAGCTGCTGCATCGAAGCTGGGGCTGCGCCACCCTGCCTTATCAGACAAGCAGCGGCAGATGTCCGTTGTGAAGCTGCTGGGCACAGCCGGCTCCGCCATAGGCCGACGGGATACAACAGGGAAGAGGAAGAAAGTGGCCCCCTGTCATGCGCTTTCAAAATGCATCCCACTGTGAAGGAGTCCTGTGTGGCTGTCTTTTGGGCATGCTGAATCTGCTGTTCTTGGACTTGCGGAAAGTCGAAAGGCAGAAGAAGCATGCAGAGCTGCAGACAATCTGCAAGACATTTGCAGTCGATGGCCCTGCCCACTTTGAAGCCGAGCGCTGCACACTTTACATTCGCGACTCCGACGATAAATACCTTTGGACGTTTGCCAAGCGATGGCAACTCAGTGATGCTCAGCTTAGCGAGTTCAAGTCGTTCACAGAAGAGCAGGATTATAGCGACGGTGCAATTGCAAGTGCGCTCGCGGAGTTACACTTCAAAGCATCGGAAATCGCACACCTAGTCAGGAAGTCGAAGGAAGTCTCATCAGACGAGTTCAGAGTGTACTTGGAACAACAACTGGAAAGACCGACAAAGATAAAGTTGCGAGCAGGCGGCACGAAGAAGTATGTCGTCGACGCAAAGAAGCTGCTGAATACCCCGGTCGTGTACTCCGACCCTCGGTTTGCGGCAACACACAGGAACACAGGAAGCGGGACTCGTGCGTGCAGCGTCCTTGTGTGCCCGATTCTCAGCAAACGTTCTGGGGAAGTGTTGGGCGTGCTAGAGGTTATCAACAAAATGCGGCTTGGTCATCGTTTGTGTGCAGGCAATGTATAGCCCTTTATTTCACTGGTCCTCGTAGTTTTTCTTTGTTGTTTGTGCACTCCGAGAGTGACTGCGCATATCTGAGCATCAAGCCCAGGCCGAAACGGCTTCAGAAGCCGGTCTTCACAGAAATGGATGAGAAGCTCGCCCTGATGATGTGTTCACATGTAGCAAGCATCGTGGACACAATCTGCATCCTGGCACAGCAAGAAGGAGGAGCTTTCTAGTGACTCTAGGACAGTCCTTTGTTCATTGCATGTTTTGTGTTTTGGATGGCGGACGGCTTCTCATTTGTTTTGCGTGCGGTGTGGCGTGTGTGTGGTGAGCTTCTCATGTGCTTGCAAGGCGATGAGGACTCTCAGCTGCTGGAATTCCTCGGATAATTAAGCTGACTGTTGGCAGCCTGCTCAAAATTGAACGGCTGCTTCCCGCATTGCTTGCCAGTGGTGCGGGTCACGCATCACCCGTGCATTCGCTTTCGTGTCATTCTTCAAAGGTTTTCCGCAAGCTGGAATAAAAAGTGCTTTTACCGCCACCTTTCAGGCGCAACTTACAGGGAGCATTCTTCACCCATGTTGAACAGTCAGGACGCATACCAAGTTTATGAGGATTTCTTCAACGGCAAGCATCTGAGAAGTGCCTGCGCCCAACACTGGAGACGGTCGAATTGCTGTGCATGAGGCACTGATCCTGAGGCACGTGACTTCCTGCAGCTTGGCTCCGTGTGAGTGTTGTGTTTTGAGCATGTGTTTCGAGCATTTTTGTAAGAGAATCAGAAGATGTCTCGGTGCCTCGACGGCGTTCACGCGAGTGCCTCAACGGTTCTCTCCATGCCATCTTCCCTTCGCCTCAGTGTGCGACAGTCTTGTCTAACCCTACCAGAGAGCATCACCGTTCCCCGAGCTCTCGTCGTCCCCTGCTCAAGTCTATCGCAGCGCAGTCCGCTAGTCTTGGCTGTCCTTGGCAGTCCTCTGCAGCTACCTGTTCCTTGCGGGTGTGAAAGTTCGGCCACGGGTTGTACACCTCAGGGTCTCGCCTTGCTTGCGTCTTCGCGTGCGCGGTTATGCGCAAGCGACAAGCGATTCTCCAAAGGAGTTTCACGATGGGATGTGATGACAACTCAGGCTGATGAACGGTGGGGTGGCAGGTGCGAGTTCGTTTCAGCAAAAGAAGCTGCCGCTCCAAGCCTAGAAATCCCCAGCCGGACTTGATGTTGACGCTTTGTGCAGACAGCGGCAGCGAAAGTGACGACAGCATGGAGGACAGTGCCTTCAATGGGACCAGGGAGGCTCGGAGTGCTTAACGTGTACCAAACAAGAGAGAGGGCGAGCTGGCCGTCGAACCCGGTGACTCTCGGGCTGGACGCCAGGCAGAGGCATTCCGAGAATTTTCGAAGGTGTGTCTGCGACCTTTGTATACAAGTCTGGCAAAAGGCTGATGGACCTCAGCTCCCACCAGAGATGGCCAAAGCGGTGGGCGAGGCGGCAAGGCACGATGCGCGAAGTACTCTCGCTCCGCTGGAAGCAGGCTTCTTCGGTGGACCAGTTCAGGACAATGCTGAATGGGGTCCCGCGGAAGACCGAGTAAGGCGCACCTGTGTGAAGAATCTCAATGTGCTCTTCAGGTCCTCTCTACGACGCTGCGTCGGGATTCAGGTCGAGTCCTTGCTGAGTACTCGAGCAGCTTGAGACTCTGTTCACGGTGGAGGTGAAAAAGAAGGCCGTCCTCATACTGCTCAGGCCTCCGCATAGGTCCTGCACCAGGGCATTCTCCCGCAATGTCACAGCCGATAAATGCAGGCAAAAGGTTCGGAACGGCAGAGGCGACGTTCTGCGAAAAAAGCTCGGGCTCCCGTCAAACCACGTATGCAGGCATGGAAAGCGGCTGAGTTCAATTCAAGTCTGAGAGCGACCAATAAGTTTGAGTGAAGGCTTGGAAGTGCTGGCGAGGGGCGAGGCATATCAGGCACGCTCCAGAAGTTCCCCTGCAACTGGTAGTTCCAGCCTGCGACCCGGCCCAGGCAGGTCTGCAACAAACGCCGCGAAGGGGGGAATAGGCGACCAGCTGCAGAGAAGGACTTCTGAGACTGTGCGGTAAACGGAAAGGCAAAGCCAACAGGCGACATGTCACCAGGCTTTGAATTGCATTTCCGACGTGCACATGCAGCGCCTTTGCAGGAACCAGCCTGCCAGAACAGCCTGCCCTCCTGCCAAATGACTGCAGAGGCAGATGCGGAAAGACGGCTTGCTTGCCCGCTTTGTTTTGCACTGCATTGCAACGTGTTGCCGATGCAGCTGGCCCCCAAGATTCGATTTCCGCTTGCACACGCAACGTATGGATAGTCTATCGAAAGCAAATCCCAGGTTCGGAGGAAAGGGCGATGCCCTTGGGTTGTTAGACACATTTTGCCTGAACGTGCTTTGGTGTTCGCCCGGTATATGACCTGTTGCCTTTTTACATGGGTGGCAAGCAAAATGTAGGTTGGTGCTGAAAACGATTACTTGGATAGACATGGGCATCTGAATGCGCCCAGAGTCTAGTGGATTCTATCGCGTGAGCTAGTGGCCGGTCGAACCAGCACTCTTCAAGGGATCTGGACGTTGGCGTGCCCCGCAATTCCGAATCAAATCGAGCAGGTCAGACCTGTCGCATCTCCTGGCTCGCAGCTTTTTTGTTTTTTAGACGGGGCACAGGAGCCAGAAACCACTGTACAGTGCAACAAAATGACTGGCGACAGCCGTGTCGTCGCGGTGGCTGGGAGTCCAATAAATACGCTTTTGCTGGTGTGGGTTCGTGCTGCAGTTTCTGAAGCGATTATACACAGCGAGCCGAGGTGGGAGCCGTGGCAGCCACTGTTGCTTGCACCGCTTTTGTCGGTACAGCGCCCTCCCAGGGCCCGGGCAGTGCGCGAGCACTCCGGGCAGGGGCAGCAGCAGCAGCAGTGCCAGCCCGGGCCGCTTGAATGGAGAGTTGAGCATCTGAAGAAGAGGTAAATGTTCAGAGCAGGGAGAGAGAGAAACGCAGCAGAAAAGGCGAGATACCAAATTACATGTGCGACTCCCAGAGGCTTCCTCTACCTCACCGACAGCCGTGGCTGCTGCTGCTGCTTTTGCCGGCTTCGCTCTGGCAGCAAGAAGCCGCCAGCAACATGGGAAGGCCAAGGCGAGGGTGGACGGAGCAGGGGCCTTGCTGAGTCGAAGTTGATCCGTCAGCCAATTTCCAAGGTTGTCTTTTGTTCTGAGCAGTCTCTCAAGGGAAAGACGGAGCTGGACAACTTCAACCAGCGACACAGCCAAGCCCAGCCAGCCCCATTACTGTGATAAGGCTGAGAAGGAGGCTGATACACTTAACAGCTTCCGGCAGAAAGGCCTGCCCTCTATACAGGATTTCCATTGGAAAACGAAGGTGCGCTCACTGTAGCCAGACCTCCAGCCTCTTTCCGTCTGTGCAAGTGGTTTACAGTCCAGGGATGATATATCGCTTGGAGTGTTCACCCACGGGGTTTCGAATCTCTAGCAGGCTTGCCTCGTAGTCTCTTTGATCGGTAGATCTCCACCTCATCATACCACGACTTCCGCTCGTGCTTCTTGCGAGCTGTTTTGGGTATGAAAGGGAAGCAGCTGTCATGTGGCGGCATTTCTTCGTTTGTCAGTCGCACTGGCTGCGGTTGGTGCTCGACACGATTGCCAGAGCTTTTGAAGTATGTTCGCGACCCCTGCATTGTCATCTCCATCGGTACTGCCTTCGCAAAAATATATGCTCGCACCGTTCTCCGACTTTGGCAAAACGCAGTAGTTCTGCCAGGCCCGATCGTCAGGTGAAGATTCATGCTCTCCCTACTCCCGTCGCATCACCGGAAAGATATAATTTCCGTGGTGCTTGTTGCAAGTGTTTCCATGGGTTCGCGGTGCTAGTGTTCGGTGGGCAGGCTTTCGAAAAGCTTTTCTCCCTTTTGGTAGCCAAGCCTGCCATCACAACACATTGAAACGAACGGACAGAGCTGTAAGCTCTTGTGCAGACTCTGCGGCACTTCTTCGGAGAAGCGGAGACCGAGACGCAGGTGGCAGAGGTTACGCAGGTCCCGGACACGAGCTCAGCATGAGAACTCTAAGTCCTACCAGGCACGAGTCGACGTTGCCTCCAGCAACTCCTTCCGAGGTCACGCAGCATCCGCCAGGCTCTCGAATTCCTGATGGAACTCCCACGCCCCACCCTATGGCCATCAGAAAGAGGCGCAGATGCTTGGAGTGAGATGCATGCTTTGTGATGTGTTGTGATGCTCGGCACGGTTTTTTCTGCGGGGCCATGCTTTCAACAGCTGCCTTGCCAGGCCCAGACGAAATCGCCGCTTGCAGGCACAGCGAAATATGTTTTCGGAAACCAGGCCCGCCCGACATCACTGCCCGACGGCTGCTGATCGTTGATTATCCTTGGAGGCTGACTGCCGCGAACTTCATCCTGCCGATCTTCGTGCACGAGGAGTGCGGATCAGCGCCAACATTGCACATGAATGGCACTGTTGGTTCCCAATGCTCCGAGGGGACGGAAGACATCCCCATCAGCTCCATGCCAGACGTGTCCCGCGTCGGAGTGCGCACCCCAGAGAACAGAGGCGGTGCAGGCCTGGGCAATTTCTCACAGAAGCAGCAATAAGGTGGACACAGGGCTTCTTCGTGAAGTTGAAGAGGCACGATGTCTCGTTATCCTCTAGTGCCGTGTCGGTGTCGTCTTTGACATGTCTAATCATGTCCAAAGTAACATGTAAGTCTATTCTGCGACCATGCGGTATGACTGCTTGACTTGGGAGGCTGTGAAGTTGGGGGTCAAGTCTGTCGTGATTTTCCCGAAAACGCCAGATGAGCTGAAGACACAGACTGCCGAGGAAGGCTGCATGTGCTCAGCCGCGTCAGGGCGATCCATGTGTTTCCTTGGTTGTACTGTGATTTGACTGGTCTTCCGCATATCTTCTGCTTGCTTGATGAGCTTGGGTGTCCAATGTCATGTGCTCTTGGCTCAAAACTAGCCACCGATTTTTTGCTTCGTACTCTGATCCTGCTTTGCTGCAGGAATGCTTCAACCCAGCGGGCCTGGCTCAGAGAGCGATCAGCAACGTGAAGAAGGCACTGCTCTGGCTTTCCCATGAACGTTCATGATCCGTGTCAGAGCTTGGACGCTTGGGCCAGGCTTTTCCAGACGTGGCCTTGCTGCCGTACTTTAATTACATGTGTCGGAATCTCGTGGATTTCGCGTGTGTGTTTGTGTGTGTAATTCCCAACCAAACCATGACTCATGTCAAGCTCTAGCAAGTCCTAGCACGGCGTAGATACCTGCAAATATTAGGAAGCAACACCGAGGAAGCGTGAAGCAGCTCTGCGTGCTTGTTCCAAGCTGGCATGTGCGCAAAGTCTCACGGATGAACATCATGTCTGCAGCCGTCTTGTTCGAATGAAGCAGGCAGAGATGCTGCTGCGACTGCTTTCGCAAGCTAGCGAAGGCGACTGCCTGCATCACTTGCCACAATGCACTGAAAAGGACATCAATGCTCGCACCGCAGACGGAGCAACTGCATTGCATTATGCGGCATCTGCTGGGTACGCGGATGTCTGCTTGGAGCTCTTGGAATCACCTTTATTCATGCAGGTGAACGACCAAGACGCATCCGGATGCACAGCCTTGCATTACGCCGCTTGCAAAGGGCATCGGGAGGTCTGCCGGGCCCTTCTTCAGCACTGGCGGTTCTCAGCACAGGATACTCAGGACTGGAACGGCTGGACGGCCCTGCATGTTGCTGCTGCGCACGGCCAACCTACCACGTGCAGCACTTTGTTGGAGAGTCCACGCTTCAAGGTCTTGACTGCGAGAGACAAAAACGGTATGACGGCGCCACTTGGCTCCACAGAGTTTTTCTGGCAACGACCGTTTGGTCATGTGTGTTTTGTTTGTCTCCAGGCTGCATGTCGCGACAGCTCGTGGGCGTGCCGACGTGTGTTCTGCGCTGTCCGACCATGGTGCATTTGCCGGTATTGCTGCTGTGGACAACTTCGGGAGAACGGTCCATGCTATGCGAAAGGAACCGACGCTCAAGGACAGAGGTGTGCAGACCATTAATGTTCCGAAAGGCGTTGCGAAACGGACGCCATCTACGAAGGCGAAGCCTCAGATGGAAAAGTGGCAAAGTTTGGCAAAGTGGACTTCCCACCTACAAAAGATACAGGACGAGGTGCATGATCGCGCTGACATGCTTCTTTTGCAGAGCTTCCAAAGTCAAGCAGTGTTGACCACTACCCTGCCTGACAGGCTCCCGTTGTTCCGACGCAATCCCTGGAGGAGGAAGTGGTAGCACGGCTCAGTCAGGTAGCAGAGCTCGAGACGAGCCTTGAGGGAGGGAGCAATGTCAAAGACTTCGCAGCTCGAGGCAATGAGGACACAGAGGCACCTCACAAGCGCCACTCGATTGACTCTAGAGATTCGGAGACACACGGGGCTCAGGCGATGGCGGCAAGACCTTCCAGCAACGCACCATCCACTGGCAAGGCCTTCGGAAATCTCTCCGTGGCAAGAGCTGAACCAGAAGAAGATGACAAACAGTTTGCAGCAAGATCTGAGGATTCATCTGCGGCAGACACACATGCAACTCATGCAGCAGGGCAAGTTCCCGATGAAAGAACGCTGTCAGCATCAGCAGCTGCTGGCGAAGCAACCGGGCATCCCACCAAGGTCGCCACACCGACTACGTCAGAAGGCAACAAGCCCGCAGATGGCGACTTGCTGGAAAGCCCCAAGAACAAACAAGATTCAGCAACTGTGTCGGCAGAAGTGGCCTTAGACCACGAGGCGGGCACCACCAAGGTGAATACAGAAGACAGGAACGGTCCGCAGGATGTACCTGAAGACCGATCGGATGCTGCACAGCGGCCAGGTGCAGGAACTGTAAGCCACGAGTCCTGGCAAGAAGAGACAAAGATGGTTTCGGATGCGGAGGCAGATCTGGCGAAGGAGGAGGGAAACCAAGTCGAGACCTATGACAACGACGAAAGAACTGTGGAGAAGAGCAATAAAGTGGCAGATGAGAACAACACAGCGGCAGATGCGCCGAAGCCAGGCGACGAAATGGATGGTACCCCGCAGGCTGGATAGCGACTACTGAGCTTTAGGCTTGGGAATGAGCTGCAGGCGATGAGCACAGTACATATGAGAGTGGCACCCGTTTTGAAGCCGACGTGGGGATGTGGGAGGGGGGGTACGCTTGGTGATGCCTTCGCAAGCCGTACCCAGCCAGATGTAAAAGGACCTGGACCCCGAGATGAGCAATCAAAGAGACTTGTCTCGCCGCCAAACTATGAAAACAACTGCAAGCGTTTAGCCGGGAACACTTTTCCTTTCGCTAGTGTCTGCATGATGTGGAAGGGCGATACAGGTTGGAAGTAAGGGAAATAGGAGAGCGAAAGTTTTGCATTTTAGCTCGATAGCCGGCCGAAAGGCCTCGGAGAGTCCTGCAGCTTTCTTGTGGAGGCAACTGACGAGCAGGGAAACGGCAGCGCTGAGGGAGGGCGCCAGAAGAGAAACCGTCAGCAGAGGAGGGAAAAATTGAAGGTCCGACAGCTCGCTGGAGTGGACGCGGAACCACCTCGGACCATTCGCAACAAGTTGAAGGACGTCATGAAGCAAGAGGCGACAGATCATCAACAGCCAGAGGCTCAAACTGCTGACGGAAAAGCTGCGGATGCCGCAGAGGAAGCATCCAAGTCAGAAGAGGAGCAAGAAGCTAGGCAAGCTGCAGAGACCGCAGCGCTGGCGCAAGAAGATGAAAAGTCCAGGGAAGTTGCAAGGGCTGAGGAGGAGAGAAAGATAAAGGAAGCTGCAGAGGCAGCAGCGAGGGCGGAGGAGGAGAGAAAGGCACGGGAAGCCGCAGAGGCTGCAGAAGCAGCGGCAAGGGCGGAGGAGGAGAGAAAAGCACGGGAAGCCGCTGAGGCTGCAGAGGCAGCGGCAAGGG